TCTCACTTGGCAGTAACTCAAATAATTTTTTGAAGATTCTAAAAGTTCAAGTCGGTCTTGTGAAAATTTTTTCGAATCCTGCTCTCAGAAAATCTCAGAAATACGCCTCAGAACGCATAGATTTCTATATTGGCTGAAGCCACGCCCCTTCACTCAAAATTTTTTGGCGTCCCCTCTCGGAAAAAATTTCTTGGAGCGCCACTGTCGTGTGGCTAAGTATTGAGTAGTTTTGCAAAATCTTTTTTTTTTGTGAGAAGATCTCAGATCTCAACTTATTGGCATTGTGTTTTCTTCCCAATAATGCTAACCTAACCTTATAGTTTGTGACAAGCTCATTTGTACATGCAGAGTCACGCTCTATCAATTTTTTTTGAATTTCATTTTGGTACAAAAGCATTCTTTGAGAGACACTTTGAATCTGTTCCAACCTCAACATCCCCTTATGCGAGAAAAATGCTTTGCTATTAAAGGCACGTTGAGCGTAGTAAACAAAGTATTTGGAAAGGAATATTAGTTTTTGCGCACAGCAGGAGATGCATATTACTCAACTTGCAATTATCTCCAATGTCTTCAGGTAACCGCGGCGAGCTTACTTTTCGTGTCCGAGTTCAGTTATTGGTGGACACGGACTGGAGAAATTATGTCCAAATTTTATCAGGTTTGGTTCAAAAGAGGAAATAAATCCATGAAAGAAATTTCTCTAGGTTTCCAAATACCTTCCGACTACCGTCTGGTCGAAATTGTAGGACTGATGCAAGAGTTGAAATCCGAAAAGGATCCAGACTATGAATGGCTGGACAGGTAGAGACGAAGCATGCTTGGGACTTGGGTTTTTACCCAGACTTCCGTTTTCTTAGGATACGTACACCCAAGGCTACTAATGAGGCACGACAGTCGGCTGTTCGTGACGCTCTCAGAAGTGCAGCGGTGAGCCTCGCTCACAAAGTCAGCAAACTTCAGTGTAATCTTATATGCGGGTTTGTTAGAATAGTATAGTCACATTAGACTCAAAACTTGTTGTTGTGTTTATCGAACCTACTTGCAAACAAGACAAATTGCAGATATCAGGAGTATCTGGATGTTGAAGGGTCGTCTACGGATCTTTTCACTGTTAGGGTCTTGGGTACTGCGTTGCGAATAGAGCAGGGTAAATATGCAGGTAAAGTCTACATGGTTCATGATTCTTTTGTTCTTTGATACTGATACTTTGGTTTTGAGGTGTTTGGAATGACCGTGTGTCTTTTCCAATCTTGAGTCTTGATGAAATACCCGGTAACAGGTTAGTGGACATTCCAATCTGATCTTATTTTCCATTCTTCCAATTCCAGGCAAACCGGCATTGGTGCTGTTGTAGCAGTTCGAGCTGTGCATATTTTGGAGCGAGATGACGAAGATCCGGACACTACTAGAAAAAGGTTCTGCATTTTTCAAGAGCTAACGTATAAATCGCTGGCTCTAAAGTTGTCAAGATGGAAACCTTTAAAGGCAGTGTCCCGGCAAAATTCTCTCCTCGTTTTTCACCTTGTCGGAGCCTTCTCGCATGCTAAAGCAATATCTGTTCTCATCGCTTGTAAGTGGCAAAAATGATTTTTTCCGTGTCCGCGTTCGCTCCAAATCATTGCACATGTAAGAAGTGGGCGGAGTCTGGA